TGTAGGAAACATTCAAAAAATATTTTTTTGTTGTGTTGTGAAACAGAAACAGAAATGTTGTCTCTCTACTTTCTCATCATTACTATTTCTTATAAAGATGGAGAATTAGAAAGCCAAAAATCTTTCTTTCTCTATTTTACTTTTGACGTACGCACTGTTAATCATGTGATAAGACAGTTGTTGTTGAAATATATCAGATCTTAGCGTAGAAAGTAGACTTTGATTTCTGAACTTGTCTGGTCATTTCATACTTACATACACAACTCAATCCTTTTTTGCCCAATCCAACCAACATATTCAAGCAGAGGTTACAATACGCAGGTCTGCTGAAATGTTTCAATCTCCACAAGTGATTTCCGTCCTCCTTGACATGAGAGTCCAGTCCTAATAATACTAGTAATGGTATGGTGGTCAATCCTCCTCTCTTCCACTCTTCCAGAGATACAGTTCCGTCCGCATCGTAGTCGATCTCGATCATCATATCTTGTAAGATCTACCACAGAAATATAAAATATTAGAAAGTACATAATCTATAAAGCATATATTTGAAGACGCTGAATGTGCAGTATTTGTTTGGCAGCCATCAACAGCGAATGTTTTCGGTAAATTTGTGAAAAACTTACCGGTTTCAGTTCTGAGACATCCCATCCGAGGTACTCAGCCACAGTCATCATTTGGTTAACGATACAATCCATTTCGTTTGTATCCAACACTCCATCGCCATTTGTGTCGTATAGGCGAAACATAACTGAAAACAACAAAATGTGTTTCTTACTGAAAATACATTTCACATACAATTGAAGTTGATATTGATAGAATAACAAATTTTCCACCTTCAATTTTGAAACTGAATGTGAAGCCGCACAAACTCGTCTTTGTATTTAATCAAAGGCACTTGATTTTGGAAATAACAAGAAAGGTTTTCAGTAGTAGAAAAGAAGGTCATATCCATATTTGCCTTTGCAGTCAGAAGGTATCAGATTTCATTCTTCAGATTCACCTCGTTGCTGAAACATATCTCTATTGAATGTAAACTATTTCTGTATATCAAGAGGGTAATCGGTTCAAGAGGCCCTCCTTCAGGTACACCACACTTGATGTTTTTATATTGAGTATCAGTAATAACTACTTAACAACTTCATTTTCCTTCAGTTAGTATTATTATTTCACACGGAAATGGATATTATTCAATGCAATGCTGTTTTTTCTCGAAGAGGTCGTCAATATTTCATTTTACTGGCAGAGTTTGGTTCAATACTGATAATGTTTTCAACATTAAGAAACTCTTGGAAATGCGCTAGGAGTTTGATTGAAGTGATGTTTTGTCATGTTCAAGGACGGCAATTTGTATATCTATTTTTATGACAGATCCAGTTACTCAAAATAAAGAACTTCACTTACACTCTAGTTTATCCTCAGGTCTTCCTGCTTCCAGAAGCGANACAACATTCATTGCTAAGATGGCAAATCGCACGATCTTGGTGGTCAGTTCAATCACCGCCACGTGAGATGACTATGTCCTTGAATCGCCCGCGCAGAATATCCAATGTGGCATGAGCTGTGTGATACGTAGCGCCGTCCTGTTGAAAACACATGTCGTTGATGTCCAGATCATCCAATTCAGGCCATAAGAAGTTCGTAATTATCAACCTATGGTGCTCGCCGTTGACAGTGATGGCCTGGCCAACGTCATTTTAAAAATCCACACCATACAGTGACTTTTGGATTTCAGTAGTAGTATCGTTCATCCAGAAATGGGCCTCATCGCTGAAGATGATTTTATGATGGAAATAGGGTCAGTTTCCAACTGATCCAGAGCCCATTCAACGAACACACGTCTATGTCTATGGTCGTTTACCTCCAGTTCCTGAGACAGTTAAGTTTTGTACGGATGCAGGCCTAGGTAGGTAGGTAGGTATAAAGTGAGTGGGTCTACTCGACCCTCCACCACAACCCACAAGAGTTTATTGTGGCTCACACCTATTCACACTCAGCCAAATAAACCCAGCTTCTCAACGAAGCCGACTAGTTTGTATGGTGAGTGGTCTTTCAGGTCAGATGGTGAGAGTACGGATCTGCCGAACCTGAACCTGATTCGGTCCCCAGTGGGGCAGGCACAAAGTATATGCTCTGCTGCTTCATCATTTTCCAGACAGAGGTGAAACACACTGTCTTCCAACAGTCCAAGTCTCTGCATATGATGATTCAAATGACAGTGACCTGTGAGATGGCCTGTTAGATATCATAGTTCATCCCTACTGTAGTCCAACAACTGTTTAGTATCAAGCTTCCAAGGGAGAATAAACGCCTTGGAGTGAGCCAATCCTGGAAGATTCTGCCAGAAGTCTATAAATCTTCTTGCCATCCAGATATTCAGTGTTTGTTCGGCACAGACCAAAGCGATGCCAATGAGTCAGCTGCTTCATTGTCTTCCAGGCCAGTATAGCCAGGAATCCAGACCAGAGACAATCTATTAAGTCTTCCTATCGAAGAGATTCATTTTTGGCAGTTTTCTGCTCGGTAGGAGCCAAGAGCTTCTAACGCCGCTTGACTGTCCGAGAATATTTTTATTGACTTGTGAATGAGGTTGGATTTATCCAATCTCTCTGCACACAATTCAATAGCGTAAATTTCCGCTTGAAATATAGTCGCGACGCGAAATTGGCTGTCTCGGATTCTACTGCATAATCTCACAGACAGCGACGATGTAAACAATTTTATTATTTGCACGTGTTGTTTAATGTTATATACGTCCATGGTAATTTGTTACTGATGTTACTGTACTAACTCTCAACTATTAAATCCCCAGAAAAACGTTTTTCTTCGTTTTCACAAATATCTCTTGACAGAAAATCCGCCCTTTCACATAAACCAATAAAGGCTCGACATACCTTCAAGTTTGCCGTTATTTACTAAAAGCGAATTATTGGACTTCTTGGACGAATTCCTCGATATCTGACTGTGGGATGGGGAGGAATCTGTGCTCTTTTTTCCGAGGACTTCATGGCACGAATACGAAGTGTGGGTTACTGTCAGCATGGGGTGGACTGTCCCTGAAAACGAGAATCCGTTAATATAAGCAGCCGGTTTACTAGCTCACGAAAATATAGGGAAATCGAATGGTTGTGTTGGCTGAAAACTGTGGCGTTTCAATCCTATTCTAACTTTTGAACGAAACTTTGTTTTAACTGTTTGGTTACTGTTTTTCTCGTATTAGCATCCTCTACAATTATTACAAATATTAATGAAGATCCACGTATTTTTAGTTCAATCAACAATATCTATATCAATATTTATAACTTTGTCTTGTTATCACCTTGTTTGCATGCTTTGAGATCAGTATTTATTCACTTTTACGTTTAGTTTTTAATAACATTGGTTATAGACCATTGTATTCATGAGGGGTCACCCTCATAGTATGTTTAGAAACAAAGCTCCATATATACTTGTATAAACAATATTCCAAAAAAAGTCTAATTTGAGCATTGTAATCAATCCGTTTGCAGGTCTCTTGTCACGAGGTCTTCATAGTATAACTATTTGATACAGTAATAGGGGAGCCCAAGCGGGGATTTCGGGATTTACTGAAGCGCGGCAGATTAATATACAGGGAGATACCTTGAACTTGTCCCATATGTAAACAGTTTTCCAGTCCTATTACTTCTATGAGGCCATCTCCAATATCTGGAAATAAGTGTGTCGTATCATTTATTGTAGCATTCACTGAGAAAACAGTGACTATCCTCAGAGAAATTGAACTCGAAACTCAGATATATCGAAAGAATTGATAGTAGTGCACCATAAGGATATATACGGGCTTCGATAACTTTCATTATAATACTGTTTCGATATCAGATCTCAAATTAT